TCAAGTTCATCTCCTTAAGTTATGTTCAGTTGCTTAAGTCCGAGGCTCACACAGTTGTGTTCATTTGCTTAAGTCCGAGGCTCACACAGTCAAGTTCATCTCCTTAAGTTGTGTTCATTTGCTTGAGTCCGAGGCTCATACAGTTGATTGGTTAATGTTAAGATACCAAGTTAAAGTTATTGAGTTTGTGCTTTAATCAACTCCTAGTCCGCTTGTTTAACGAGGCACAAAAAAAAAACTTGAATAAAGGACAACAATTAGTGAAGAAAAGCATTGTATTAATATTCAAAAGGAATTACAGAGGAGGGCCGCTGGCCATTACACAAAGTATTGAAAAGGAAACCTAATCTAAGCCTGGCTGGATGGAGGAGCCGCCTCCACGCTTGGGGGTTCAGCAACTTGGGCATCAGTAGTTGCTTTCTTTGCCTCAGCAATTGGGGCTTCAGCATCAGCTGCCTCGTCACCGTGCACCTCCTCAGCTGGGGTCTGAGGAACCTTATCCACAAATTCGGACCTGAGTTGTGCCAGGTCCGAGTTGGGATAAAGCTCCTCCGCCCTCTCCAGCACTTCGGCATAGGCGAAGTTCCTCCAGTACGCGCTAAAGCTTTTGTACTCCTCTGTGGTGTGGAAGTTGGCGATGTATGCCTTCATCGCCTCTTCCACTGCAGTTCGGGCCTCTTCTCTGGTAGCCGAGGCGTCGTTCATGTACCACTTAGCCTGCCCTTCGAGAAACTGATTGGCATCACGAGCGTCGGTCAAGGTGAGATTCGCCTGAGCCTCAGCAGTCACTTTCTGGTGTTCATTGGAGACCTCCACCTTCTTTGTCAAGGAGGCCACCTCACACTGTGACTCATATACTTCCCTCTTTAGGGCCTCGATTTGGGCCAAAGCAGACTCGAGCTTCGCCGCTTCTTCTACCCTCTGTGCTTTGGCCTCTTCGGCCTCGGCCTTAGCAACTTTGGCCTTTTACGCAAGGGAGGCAGCCTTCCCCTCTGAGGCGTGAGTCCTTGTCTGAAATTCACTTAATGCCTCCCTGCATTCGAGCGCGAGGCCAAAGGTCCGGGCACTTTGGCTCACCAGTGCCCTTGTAAGGTCGGTGGCATCACAGGACGAGGCATGAAGCTGCCACCTCTCCGTCCAGAACTTGTAAAAGCTCTCGGTGGCACCTCTAATTTCCTCAGGGAGGGTCTCCACCAAGGCTGGGGCCAGCTCATCCTCCCTCCCAGCTAGGAAGTTGGGAGACTTCCCCTTCTCCCGAACCGGCCTCTCCTTCACCGCCTCCTCTTCGGCGGCTTCCGCAGCTCTCCTTGCAGCCTCTTCTCTGGCCTCTTCAGCCTCCACCTCTCTTACCATCTCCATTTTGATGGCCTTAGAGGCTGCAGCAAGGAGCTTTGGCTCACCGGTCTGTTCTGCCCTATAGGACACTGAAGTCCCGAACTAGCCAGCTGAGCTAGAGATGTGCACCAGCTTCCTCTTCTTAGTCTCCTCAGAGACTTTCTCCTTGCCCCGAGGCTCCTTAGGCTTCTCTGGCCTCTGAGTAGATGCCTCCTCCAAGGTCCTAGGAGTGCAGTCCTTCGACAGGCGCTCAACTCTGCCTCGAACTTCCTTTGCTCCACTGGACCCGGGCTTCAGGGGCCTCGCCTTCGCAGTAGAAGTGGCCTTCAAGATGGAGGCCAT